AAAGAAAAAACAAAATTAAAATATTTTAATATTTTAAATATTTTAATTAAAATTAGTGCAACTTTTATAACGTTTTATTTACCTATAATAACTAATAGCTAGCTGTTCTTCGTTTCTCTGAAAATGTATACTATCTCCTACAGCAAACTTCGACTTAATGATTTTCAAAGTCCACCGACATACATCAGTTTTCTGTCATAATATCAAAACCAAACTTTAAAAAGAAACATAACTGCATTGCATTATTGAGCTGTGCGTTTCGAAATAAATTGAAAAGGCCTATTTTGGAAAATTGTTTACAATCCTTGATTAAATTGTTTCTAGCACATTTTCGACAATATTTTAAAATCTTGGTCTACGATTGCCTAAAACAATTGCTAAAAGAACAAACTTAACGAACACAGAAATTCKAAATGAGTAAATAATTGTACATAATGAGTTACGTTTTCTTCATTACTATCATTGTTTATATTCTTGTTCATTTGTTCTTCTTGTTGCTTGCTTTTTCTGCACTTGCAGCTTTTTTGGCGTTCACTTTTTCCTGTTTCTGTTGAGTCTTCTTCGTATCCTCTTCAGCTGCTTCGTTCTCTAGCTCAGAACGAGGAGGTGACTGTGGCCTGCGTACTGGACTTGAAACGGTTGCTACGACCTCACCTTCAAAGGATTTCCCTCGGCCTGTGCCAACAAACAGCAAAAGTTCAATTCCAATTAAAGCTGGCATGAAATATCCAAACCAATTAACTGTGAAGTACTTTGCAAACGTCGCCAGAAAAGCCACGACAGTCAGAGGCATAAAAAACTCACTCAAAAACATCTTTAAGTACTCTAAAGTCTAGCAGTATTTCAATTATTTGGGAAGAATAATTGTACTCAGTGCTTGCCAGGTACTGTTTTGAATGTTAAGTGTAATGTGACCAAGCTCGGAGCGTTTTGAATCGGCGTTGGACGCGGTTAGCATCACGAACATTCTTTACTAACAGGTGGAAGATTGATAAACATTAGGGAAAAATGACACGTTTGTCTCGTCTTCATAAATTACATAATTTAGTTGTCAAACTAAATGCTTGAAAATACCCTGAATTTACTATAAATTGAGCGACGAAAACAATTCTTATGAATGGTGAATTTTGGTATTTATCTGGGTTTAGGGAATTAAACACACTAGAAGTCGTTTTTCTTCAAGTAACTCATTAAATAGTCAACATCATCATAGCTTTTTCTATTCCTCTACTTGTAAAATATTGATTAGGGTTATTGTTTTGTCAGTCGCATGTCATATTATTTTCTGACTCAAAAACATTTCTAAGCGTCTATTAAGATATTGCTTTTTTACTTCCATAATGCATTTAATTTCTAAAAAAATCGTTTAGATTTTATCATTTAAAAATCATGTTTAATTAGCAAATACGTTTGGGCTTTCAAAATGATTTTCCCAAAGCAATGTATAGATTAGCTACTGTAGTGCAATGAATTGTCATAGCAACAGTTGCTATAAGCAACAGCTTCTGGAAAATTACTTTGCAATAAGAAGAACGTACTGTCGGAATATTTTTACCAGATAAGCTATTGTTGTTCAATTTAAACTGCTTTATCAATCAAATGAAACGTAATTTTCACTCCATTTTGTAATAATGTCACCTTGCAAAAAGATTGCAGAATCGAAACTCGTACTTTTTTGTACGAAGAAAATAAAATGAAGCAGCAATTATAATTAAGTACGGTAAGTTAGAGTGACCACAGAAAATCCGTGAAACTTTAGTAATACTAAATAGCACAATTTCATACAAATTCCATTGTTTTCTATTGTTTAACTAGCACTATTTTGTACTATTTAGTAATTAGTGTTTCACGGATTTACTGTGGTCACTCTACTTACCATTAGCAAGGTAAATCTTGTTTGCTTTTTCCCGTTTTTGCATTCAAAGAATTTATGTACATCGTAAGCTTTGTTTTGGAATATATAGTCTTTGGAGAATTTCTTTATAAAAAAAAAACGAACGAAGGTTAATATTGCCTACGTAATATCAAACGTACTGTTTTAATAATGATAATAATAATGATAATAATAATAATAATAATAATTTATAATCTATATAGCGTTAAGTCCTTAAAGGTCAACAACGCCTTACATTCACATATTTTTAACGATATTAACAATATTAATATCAACACTTATACAGCAATACATATTTATAACTCATTATAACATCTATATTTATAAGTCATTTTATTGTCTATTAAAAATTAGAAAAGAGTATTWAAAAAAATTATGTTAGTGGAAATAAAAAGAGTGAATAATTAAGATATATTGTTGTGCGCCTTCTTAAAAAGCCAGGTCTTGATATATTTCTTAAAAACACCGATACATGGGCTGGACCTGATGTTCATTGGCCGGGAATTGCCTTTTCTATCAATTTTTTCTTCCTTTCTCCACTTTTCTTTCAGTAGGAATCAATACGTAACTAAGTTTAGCCGAAAATCTGACACTTTTTTAAAAACTTGAGCACACAGGAATTTTTACATTCCAGATTGAATTCAAAAGTAAGAAAGAGCCATTCAGCCTGTTAGTTAAACAAAACGCTCTCATTTCTGGTACTGCCTAGCTATCAGTTTAGACAGTGTAAAAATCATTTTCTGTGTACCACCATTTGGGGTTCTTTATCTATTTCTCTCTCTCTCTCTCTCTCTCTCTCTCTCTCTCTCTCTCTCTCTCCTTTTTCCTTTTTAAATTAGTCTTTCATTCATTCATTTTCATTTTCTCTCTGTGTGTTTGTAACTTTCTCTTTGATTCTATTTTAATGATTTTACTTTTTCTCTTCCTTTTTGCCCGGCTGTATTTTTTCATTTCCCTCCTTCATTCGTTCCTTCCTTCCTTCTTTTCATTTTTAACACAGTTCTTCTCCCAAAATATTAACCAAAATAATAACCGAAGTTATTATTCGAGACTTAAGTTCTTCGAATTTCAAAGCAACAGCCTTAAATTATTGATAGCTTTGGAACCAAGCCAACGGGTGGCACAATAATCGACTTCAAACTAAGGCGACAAAAATATGTTTGTTGTTTTAAACAGCCATATATAATGGGCCAACGACTCCCTTGATCAACACAGCGTGAGATAGAAGCAAAAAGAGAAGAGCAGCAGAAGCTGAGGAAACGACACTCTAACTATGGCTCCGCCACCACCAGTAATCGAAGGAACCTTGAAAAATACTATCCATTCTCTTGGTTTTGGGCTCATTACGACGGTTTTGTCAGTCACGTTCGGGAAGTTTCTTATCCCTAATTTCTTCGTTTGGATAGTTAGCTTTGTTGTTTTCATTGAATTTGTGCTGCTATCAATTCCACGGAAGCGAGACGATTACGAACTCTATCAAGCCCCTGGGAAGAAAGTCAAGCATAATATTGAAGGACTTGGTGCTCCACAGATCAGCATTAATACACCTGACGATGAAGGCTCGCCCAAGAAGAAAGGGATAAGAGAGAGATTCAAAAAGGACAGGCATGGAAAGAAAGATCATTTGAGTCCTGACGCTGCTGAAGGTGGTGAAGAGTCCGGGCAAAGTAGGCCAACGGCTAGCCCTAAGAAGTCACCTAAAACAGAAAGAAAAGTGAAAGACGAAACGCAGAAGACCGAAAAAGAAGCAGAAAAGACGGAGAAGGGGGAGAACGAGAAAACTGCGAAGAAAAAAGAGAAGAATAAAGGGAAAGGCGACAGTGAAGACAATGTGGCTGAAGACCAGGACGAAGAAAAGAATAAAAACAAAGGCAAAGGAAGCTGGAAAAAACGCCTTCCTCATCGCAAGTCACAAAGCTTGAGCGACGAATGATGCCTCGAAACACTTGGATAACAGGCAAGAAAACAAACTTATAGATGAACTAGATATGTTTATCGAGCCTGTAAGCCCGCGATCTTTGTTTGCAGGTTTCTGCCATTTGCATCTCATTACCATAAATTGAACTTTGCATCTCATTAGCATAAATTGAACTTTGCATCTCATTAGCATAAATTAAATTTTGTATCTCATTAGCATGAATTGAATTTTGAACTGTAAACGAACAAAGACGATATAGAAAGTTTCGGATTGGTTGTAATGTTTTCCATTTCAGTAATTCTCTTGAGTATACTTTCTTTATAATTTATATCATATTTCAAAAATTTCAGTATCTCAATGCTTGATTTGAGTAAATAATGAAAAGTTAATCCAAGATGACAAAAAAATGATATATGAATTTTTTAGTAAAATTGATCGCGTATAAAACATTTTGGTTCTCAACAAAAACGCATAAATTTGAGAATGCTCTCCAAAGTGGAGACATTTGAAAAGGAGGCCTGTCGAATAGTAGACAGACGAAGCCGGCTTTGAAAACGCTGACGTCATTCACATCTGCACGTCTTTGTTTCGCATGCTTATGCGTAGATGATAATATTGCATTTCATTCGATGTATTTTCTCTAGTTTCGTTTTTTCCTGTGTGTACGATTTCATTCTCAGCACCATTAAGGCATGGCTCTTTTGAGGAAATGATGGAAAATCAGTTATTTATTCATATCTTTGACAGTTTACTATGAATCTTTCCCAATTTTGGCTCGTAGTAGTAATTCTTCAAGGCAAGCAATTACCACATATGTGTTACCATGGAAACCATGTCACGTGACCACAAGACCGCCATCTTGGATTTTTAAACAAGCCTTTTGAAGTCCTATTGAAACTACTTCAAAAGTCCTGAAAATCCATATTCCTTTTGATATTTGCAATACCTATATGGATCTAATTGGATATCTTGGAAATTATATTAAGTTTAATTTTTAGAATATTTTCAATTTTTTGGAAAAAATAGAAAATATTCTAAAAATTAAACTTAAAATAATTTCCAAGATATCCAATTAGATCCATATAGGCATTGTAAATATGAATAGTAATCTGCATTTTCATGACTTTTAAAGATGTTTCGGTACGTTTTCAAACGGCTTGTTTAAAAATCCAAGATGGCAATCTGGTTGTCACGTGACTTAGTTTCCATGGCAACCAAGGCTTTAAGATTCCTTCTTTTCACAAAGGACATTAACTTGCCAAGTTCGGGTAAGATTCGTAGAAAACTGGCTATGATATAGCTAAACAGTTTTTCATCTGAGAGCCATACCTTAATGATGCTGAGTTTTTGCATTTTTTACTTTACCGTTAGCACTTAAAAATAAATATAAATATATAAATGAGTATAAGTATATTGACTAAATGAGCCATTGTAATTAATTAACGAAATCAAAAAAAAAAAGATCTAGAGTTAACGGACAACTAAAACAATACATTCACGGTACCCACCATCTCTTGAAGTGTCCTGGATATATTGTAATAAAATATATCCAAAACTAGTTAAAAGTCCTAATGCATAATGAATGTATACGTACTGTCTGTAACATGTTACAAATAGACCGCTTCCTTTGTGCACAATGTTTTCCTATTTCAAACTATGTGCCTTAAAGGTGCTGACACACAGTGCATTATTGCATGCAACAATGCACGCAACAGGACTGTTGCAGCGTCTACCCCAAACTTGTTGCACGCAACGCTGCATGCAACAAATCTGAAGTTGAATCGCGCTCTGCTCTTGCAACATTGCGCGCAACAAATTTCATCATATGAACATGGCTGCAAAATCGACGTTTTGAAATTTCCAGCCAATCAGCTTGCACCAAATTTATAACTTCTGACCAAATATCTTAACATAGCAGGCTGACACAAGCGATGTTGCGAGATTTTGTTGCCATTTACGTGTGTCATCCCGATTCAAATTTGTTGCTTGCAATGTTGCGTGCAATGTTGCACCGTGTGTCAGCACCTTAATTTGATCCCTTGAGAATGTGATTCGTTGTTCGAGATATATGAATTCACATTCGTGTGTCTTCTGATGCGAATACATTAAATATTTTGGTATATACATAATACCTACTGGCCAGCATACTGGCTTTGATGGGATCGTTTAGAACAATCGACGCTTTGTGATCTGACCCACTTGCTTCAATCTCTCTCTAGTCCGAGTAACTTTAACTTCGAATATGCTTAAGAGAGTTAACAGTTAACTGACATTTTATTGTTTTGGCTAACATTGTGGTCAGCCGCCTGAAAAATATGGACAGTTAATTCTAAAAAGTCATAGTTCAGTGGCGGATCCAGGATTTTTCAAAGGGGAGTTCCGTTTCTTAAACTGTGTATAATTCTCTATTGTTTAGTCGATGTTTGACAAAACATTTGGCTCTAATCACCTAACTTACTATCTAGTAACGGAACTTAAAGGTAAATTAAACATTATAACAACAAATATCTATCATTTCGTGTTCAACATTATCTTTGTGGATACTTTTAAGCAAAATTTATATAAGACATATTTCTATTACCTAAAAGGTCAAACCTTCAAGGGGGGTTCCGTGGACCCCTTCGACCCCCCCTGGATCCGCCACTGTAGTTAGATTAACTTTCCCATCCACACACTTTTAAATTTAAAGACCAATAAMGGGTAGGGAATGCAATTGGCTGAATCCTTAAATAAATCTTTACTTCTATTTTTGACTTATTATTTATAGTAGATTTATGATGGCACTATTTCCAAATCGTGTTTGTTCACAAGTTTTAGTGCTTGATGTGAAGTTTACTATAAATAGAACAAAATCGCTAGGAAACGTCTGCGCATGCTCTGAGTCTGTACGCAGTCGTCTTATATAGAGCCTTTGCAACAACACGTCATTGTGAACTGAGGTACTGAATTCTTTCTCATGTAAATCATATTAGAGCAGATTCAATAGGCCCTTTGCAGCTCAGTAATCACGTGTGCTGATTAATTCACTGAGAGTAAATGAATGAACATCTTGATTCCCATGGGTGAAATATACTGGTGAGCAAACAAAATTTCTACAACCTGTTTTGAGAGATCGTAATAAAAATACATTTTGTGACACACTGGTTACACATGTTTTCATTCAGTTCTTTACAAGTAGCTAAAAATAATCACCAATTTAAAAGAAAAGCAAAAATTTTGCTCGCCAGTACAGACACGTAACTGTAAACTGCAAAGGGCCTATTGTCGTTGCCTTCTGTCATGGCTGCCATCACGTGACGGTGCATGTACAAGTAAACTCGACTACAGGTACCTTAAACAAGGCTCGTGTTTAAATTATTTAATAAAACGCATTCTCGACTTTCACATCCCCATGATCCTTTGCGTCTTTGGGGGGGTAACCAGAGGGTAAAAACCCACTTATTTTGCTGAAGGCTGATCAGACAATGTTGACAATACCTTGTTTGGTATCCAAAGATAAAATTAGGAAGTAAAAAACAGAAAAAGATAGAAGCTTAAAGACGTTTAAGGTAAATTTTAAACATTTTTTCGTAAGTCAATACATTTTCTGTAAGATCAAAACTCTTCATGATCTGTACAGGCAAAAATAACTTGGAATAAACTGATAATCAGTATTGTACAGATAAAAGCAGGTATAGTATAAATTCAATTAAGAAACCTTTCAATTTGGGACAGTTTTTTGATTGGTTACCCCCCAAAGACGCAAGGCATTATGGGGATGTGAAAGTCGAGAATGGGAGTTTTGATAAGGATGTAATATAGACCTTAAGCTGGTAAACAAAAGACCTCATCTCTGTTCCCATTTTCAGACCACCTGTCATTCCCTAGAGTATCGTTTCTTTTTTTAACGGTTGCACATGAGAAGACACACAAATATGGATACAACTCAAACAAAGAATCTTATTCTCTAGTGTGTGTGGCATGTGGTTTGAAATGGATAAACCGATTTCAAATGTTTTCCCATTTCAGACCACGTGTCATTCCCTATCCTAAAAATCCTAAAGAAATAATAAACAGCAAAGCTCTCCCTATTAATAATAGATTATAACATATATAATAGCATTCCTTATATTAAAAAAACAATAATTTCATTCTTTAAAACGTAATAACGACGCTACGCGTCGTGGTTTGCTACGCTTCTCTCGTGTTCTCTCAACATCCCGCGTGTTTAGATCAGAGTATCTAACGTGGAAAACTGTTTTAAAATTGTTAACTTTAAAACGTAATAACGACCAAGATTTGCATGAGCTCACGACGAAGAACTGAATTCTATTGTAGGTTTAATTTTCGTCGGCTAGCACAACTGTCCCTGGCATTTCCATGCTGTTATCATTGGAGTCCTTTTTACTGACTACACATGCCATTGACAAAGAAGTTTATCCTAAGTGAAAGCCCACGCAATCGCGAGGTGGTTTGGTATTATAATTTTGGCCCCAAAGTTTGTGTTTACGAAATTTTCGCGTATAGTCTAACTACTTGGGGTAGCACTTATAAAACCTCCCTTAAAGCCTCTTGTGACTCTTCAAAAAAAGCACTTATAATAATCACATTTTCTAGTTTTTACTCGCAGGCATTCAACTCCAATTTGTCATAAATTGGCTATTCTCACATTAGATGACTTAATATATCTTGATTATTTCTTTATTTATGAAGGAGTACCACACTAATGCGCTTCCGTTATTTCGTTTAACAAATTCGTTACATGTATAAAAGGAGTACATCAATACAACACTAGATTGGCAGTAAAAAATCGTACTATATCCCTAAAGCAAGAACCAATTATGGAATATTCAATATTCGTTTCACTGGTACAAAAATCTGGAATTCTATTGAAGATGTCTTAAAATCCAAAAGCCGTACTTCATTTAAACTTTGCCTTAAATCTTCTTTGCTTTCTAAGTATTTAGATCGACATGCGTGACCAATTCCTTAATCTATTTCCAGTTGATGAGAACATAGTTGATAATTCAGCTATTGCCCATTTTGCTCTGTGATTAGTTCTTGTACTGTTTGTGTTTGTGTTCATGCTGTTTTATACTCGTCCTTAAAGTACTAAATTGATTGTATACTACAAACCTTCAACAGGTTCGCGGATTCGTAACAGAAAGCATACCGCCAGGACATTATAATCAGGAATACATGAAGTACTTACCGAATTCCAAGTAAAAATATATATAACGAAAAGACATGAATATTAGACGTATTTGATTTTGCGGTTATATTTTATATATATGTGTGTTTCGATGTATATATGAGGACTTGGACAAATATATTTCCTTTCGACAAATATATATCAGTCTTCGATATTTAGAGCCTTTTTGACAAGCATAATTCTTCACCGAAAACGATTTTTTTCGAATACGGTCTC